GGCTAACGATAGCCCGTCTGAAGCAGCCAGGGCTAACGATAGCCCGTCTGAAGCAGCCAGGGCTAACGTTAGCCCGTCTATAGCAGCCAGGGCTGACGATAGCCCGTCTGAAGCAGCCAGGGCTAACGATAGCCCGTCTGAAGCAGCCAGGGCTAACGTTAGCCCGTCTGAAGCAGCCAGGGCTAACGATAGCCCGTCTGAAGCAGCCAGGGCTAACGATAGCCCGTCTGAAGCAGCCAGGGCTAACGATAGCCCGTCTGAAGCAGCCATGATCCCCACCAAAGGAAAAAAAATACTTTATTATTTATTATTAACTATTAATAACAGGAGGTGAAACGCAGCTCCAGACACGCTCTAATGTGGTGATGTCATCAGTGTTTATTATTTATTCTACGTGCTCCCAGACTCCAGACTTTCCCGGGTTCTTCTCATGAACACACTTGGTGAGAACACGAGTCTGTAGTCGCATTCTAGTGAAATGAGAAACGGCAGACACCTGATTCCTGAATCAGCGGCACACAGAGACGGTCGAGACTGATTTTAGAATAATCAACATCAGCTGTGCTTCAATCTCCAGTATTTGAGGCGGGAACTTTTCTACCGACACGCTAAATGTTCCACAAACAGGGACGTATAAAGGACAGTTGTGCCGGAAAAAACACCCGATTTTATTTAATTATGGACATTTCGGCTGCTGTTAACTTTTATAGTTAGAAAAGGAAACATTAAAAGGCCGGTATTATAATTAACTTCAATTTCACACTATAATAAAATATCTATGTTGCCTTTAGTTTTTAGGGAAACATTGTCTAAATCAAAGAAAGGAAACTTCCTTCACAGCGTTTCACTAATAGCCTCTGGTTACTGAGGCCAGACTCACCTGGATTCATCAGTTCAGATAGAATTGTGCATCTAAAGATTATGCTTCAGGATAGGAAAGGGTCCCTTATAGAAGACTTATTCCATAATTAAACTAAGTGAAACTAAACAAAAAAAAAAGAAGACAGGGACTTTTCATCTTACATGCAAAATGTTTATATATATATTTTTGGAGTCTCTATACTCTAGTTAATGATTAACTGATTTAATCTGTGATTATTTAAATAATCCATTCATAATGATTGTTTTAATTAGAACCTTATTTTTCAGATAATTATAATCAACATTTCCTCCATCTTGAAGGCTGTGAACCTCATGGCCCTGCATGCGTGCAGCCGTCTCCGTGGTTCCCCTCTAACACGGCCATTACTCCCCCCTCCCCCTCCTATTGCTGCTCCTTCAGATGACTCCCCTATTCTGTGCAGTTTGACCACTGGCTTCCGGCTGAGG